TGGCTTCTTTGTTAACCTGCAATGCCCCATACCTGTCTATGTCTCTGAAAGGGGGGTCGCTGTCTGATCTATTTTGTGAGAGAGACCTTCAATTGGAACTGAGTCTTATCCTCTCAGTAAGCAGCATATTGTGCACATTCCTAAGAATCTTCTGCCCTCAGTCAAAGACAGAGGAACGATTGCAGGCTAACAAACAACCCAACCCCCCCTAAGCCAAAACAAGGCTTTATTTTTTTGGTCCAGTCAATAAAACCTGGAACTAAACGCTTTTTCTGACATTTTGAATTGAAAAAGCTTCCTGGATGGGAAGAGAAACGTCTTCAAACTTGGAAACAAAGCCCCGTAAAATAACCACAGAAAAACAAAATCATTGACATCCATCAGTCTGGAAAAGTTATGAGACCATTTCTAAAGCTGTGGACCCGGCAGAACCTCAGATAGAACCGTGAGCCACACATGGAACCTTCTAGAATTACATCCAGGAGGTCCTAAAACAGGCCTGCAGACCTAACTGCCTCAGATAAGGTCAAAGGTCACAAATCAACATTAGGAAAAACTGACCCGAACCATTGCTGACCCTTCCTCACATTCATGACCCTAAACGTGTTCTGTGAACCAAGGAGTGGGTCTTTCTAGAAGGTCTTAGTTCATTCACATCTGGAGTAAAACAGCAATTCAGAACCAGGACATAACACGATGGTGGTGGAGTGATGCTCTGGGCTGCTTTGCTGCTTCTGGAGGACTGAAACTGAAGGGATCTGAACCTTAAGAAGCTTTGGCTTCTGCACAGCAAGTCCCCCCTTTTAATGATTCAATCCAGACTAATAAATGTTGAGAGTGGCCTAGTCAAAGTCCTGACATCAATGCTACATAGATGCTGAGTCATGGCCTGGAGAACATTCCATTGGGAACTAAATCAACTCATTAAACCAGATCAGGACCAAAGTCTTCCAGACCGGGTACCGGCTGCTGCTGAGGGGGGAACAACCAGCCACTGGGTTTAGGGGGTGAATACTTTTAAATCCGGTTGGTTCAGAGACGTTTGTTCCCTTAATAAGCCTAACAAAGACCTCTGTTGTGGTTTTCTGTCAATCATTATCAGTGAGATGTTTCAGAACCAAAATGGATGCCTACCTTCTAGCGTTGTCTCGTAGCCGATCAGAGGTAAACTCTCCCCCTTGGCATACTGAGCAGACACCCTGACTTCGTATCGGGTCACAGGGGTGAGGCGGGGGAGGATTGTGGTGAGGGTGTTCCCGGGAACGGTCATGGACACGTAGTGTCCGTCCACATCGTCTTCCGGCTTAAACTGAACCGTGAAGAACTCCACATTGTTGGCGTCTATTTCCCAGGAGGCTCGGAAGCTTCTGGATCCCACATCGGAGAAGGTCAGGTCTCTGGGTTGGATCAGTTCTGAAAAGAAGAACGGATCGTCAGACACCTCTGAGTGAAAATAAAATAAACAGTCCATCATACGGGTAGCATTAAGTGGAGCTTACTGGTAACTTTTACTGAAACTTACATGTAACTCACGGAAACGTTAAAGCAGGTTTACCGAAAGTTGGACGCAACTTCTATAGGAACTTACAGGTAACTTCACTGGGAACTAACAGGTAACTTTTACAGTAACTTACTATTAACTTTGATGGGAACTTACAGGTAACTTTTTAGGTAACTTACTAGTAACTTTGACAGTAACTTATATGTAACTTCAACAGGAAGTTACTGGTAACTTTTTCTGCAACTTACATGTAACTACCTAAAATATT